TTTTTTATATATATATATATATATATATATATATATAGTTTTTCTTGTTTATAGATGAGGGATATCAAAGAGGAGATATTAGACTACTTACCTATTCCGAAAAGTGGTAGAAGGTCGGGCCTTTTTTGTCCATCCTTAGCAAGAAATCTTGAAGGTTTAAATTTTTCTGGTTCATCGTAATCGTTGGGATTCATGTGAGCTGCCCAGAAGTTATAAACTGTAACTGCTCCCTTGGGAATTCTGTATCCACCAATAGTTGTTTCCTCTAAATAATAAATATATATTTCTTCTTTAAATAATTGCAAATATCTGTTGCTTAATTTTAGAGAACATTCATACTTCGCGCCCACTGGGCAATGCAACATTTTTAATGCTAGAGTACGTATTGTTTCGCCAATAAATTATAATTCTTTGAATTTTAGTAACTGTCGCTGAAAATATGAATGACTGAAAGAAATTATAAATTAGATTTAAAAATTGCAAGTTTCTATTAATAATTATAGAATTTTATCTATTTTCTATATTCTTTTATTTCATCGATCGATTTAGTATTCTTTTATACAAAGATCTATTTATTATTTCTCGTGGCCTTAGCAACAGAAGAATAAGACAATATGAGAAATCATAGTTAAGGATGTAACTTCATTTATATATTTTAATGTTGTGAAGAGTGTTGTTTTTATCGTCTATTTGAAAGTATGCAAAAAAAATAGTTTTGTACGAAAGATGATCCTATGAAGAATAGATATTAAAATCATCAGTAGCCTTGGAATGGCTGCTAACTGTTTATTGGAATAATTTTGATGTTTAACTGAATGGCTGCTAGATTCTGAGTTAGTAATGAATGGTATTGTGCCTTTGAAATTATTTAATGCAATAATTATTTCCAAATAAAATATTTGTTTCAAACTTTATTCATTACTTTAAATTGTTTTCATTGATTTTATTATTATGATAGAGATGCAAAGCCTCATAAGTGATTATTAAGAATTTCTTTAACCAATGAAAATATTAATAGCTTAAATTTTAAATTCTCCCGCTACTTTTTAAAGCTAAATTGAACGACTTAATAATTTCTAAAGGTGATAAATCGTATTTTATGTTTTAAGGAAATTATTTCATTTTCTAAATGGGCCAGTTATAACCAAACTTAATGACAAAACGTAACAGTTTGCTTCTACCACTATTTGGGCTTTTGCCAACCTAACAGGGGCACCGCATAGCTTTTGCAATCTAGTATCGATTCTTTGTTATTGATGTAATCGAGTCTTGGTTAAATTACTACTTCATAAGTGAATTTGTCATCAAATAAATAAAAACTTACAGTGTGACTCTGATGCTTAATATTTACTTCTAGAAATTAATAAGATATATTTTTGAGAAGTTATAAGAATTTTGTGTAATAAAAAATGCAATTTTGTACTTGAACTTATTTACGCATCTTACATTAACAAGTGAGGCATTGTTTCTTGTGTATTTTTTCTCGCTTCATTGAATGAGACCAAACACGAATTCGTATAACTCATATTTCAAAAGTTGAAGTGGTTATTTTGATGTAATATTTTTGAATTATACATATTACGAAAAAAAACCTTATAACTTCAAAACTATTATTCCGATCAATTTGAACTTTATCTCATTCAGTTCTCCATGAAGAATTATATCGGAAAAGAGATCTTACTTGTACAGATAGTTCTTGGATAGCAATGTTAAAGTATATACAAAAGTACGTTTTAAAAAGTACTTTTATTACATATAAGCTTTTGCGATTTTTGAACTAATTTCTATTAACTTATGTATTTTTTTATTCGAATAAATACATAAGTAACTATGCATTACTTGTTTACACAGCAATATCAGAAGCCTAAGTAGTACAAATTAGCAATTTTAGTACATTGTACACTTATAACTTCTAAACTAATCGGTTTAGTTATAATTTATAATAGCAAAACAAAAAATATCTCGGGGAACTTATCTTTCCAAAGAAACACTTTAACTAATATTGTACGTGATAAGAAATGTGTCAATTTTTTTCTCCTTTTCTCAACCATCTTTATTTCAATAATGTTTGTTTAAATTCTTTTTTATTTAAATGAAAGAAAAAGCTTACAATTTTCAAGCCATGTAAGTCTGAAAATGTTATAATTTTTTTTATTTATTTTATCTTTTACCAACTGAAGGTAAAAGTTTTGCCTTAAGCTAGATTAGACGAACTCCGTTGGTTTGGCCATTGTAGTGTTTTGTACTACTTTTGAGTAATTTAAATTTTTGTTTTATTTAAGGGAATTATTTGATAAACATTACTACTGGAAATAAAAAAAAAATCAACCCTTTTTCATGGGTAATGTTAATTTTTAGTAAGATACATTCTTTACATTGAATTGCAAAATCTTAAAAGTTTTATTTAAGCAACCTAAAATGCGAAAACTAAAAAAAGAAAAATATCATAATATCGGAACATAAATAAAATAAGATTTTTTTGAAAAAAACGTTGGTACCTTACTACAGTCGAACCCCGCTATAGTGAACCGTCTGCGGACTCAGTAATGTGTCCACTATAACCGATGGTTCACTATATCCAAATTTTTTGAANTACTTGAAATAATTTGGAGATATGATTTCACACTTAATACAGTCGAACCCCGCTATAGTGAACCGTCTGCGGACTCAGTAATGTGTCCACTATAACCGATGGTTCACTATATCCAAATTTTTTGAAGAATATTTTTTGCATACGACAGTTTAATGATTGAAAATTGGCTTTGCAATTTTGCATAAGTTATTTAAAAAATTATTAACTAATTAACAGATAATAAAGCAAAAATTGATTGAAAAAGTAATTACGTCGCTAAATATTAGTTTTATTTTCACTTTTTATGAAAAAAATTTGTGATTTTTGATTGAACACAATTTGATTTTAAATTGAGTTCATCAATTTTCTTATCTACAATGTGCAAAGAATGCAAGATTTTTACATTTTGAACAAGATTTCGAACCATCTTAACAAAGCATCTTCTACGTTTTCTCTTTCAGCTCCACGCAGTTTTTTCGATGAAACCATGTTTTTGTCGTATGCCGCAAGAATTGCACTTCGATTTTTCCAAATGTTTGAAACTGTAGATTTTGACAAGGAAAATTCCTTACACAGTGTCGATTGATTGGTTCCATCATCAATACGCTTTACAATTTTAACTTTGTCCTCTATCGAAAACGCTTTTCTCTTTAGAGAATTTGCCATTTTCACTGCTTTTGAAATAAAAATCTTGTCTCAAATAGATAATGTAAGAATATGAAGAGAGCAGCTGTAGAATGAGTTAAATTGTTCCCCTTCTTGATTGTCAAGGGGTGATTTGTAAAGAATATGGTTTGAACAGATAAGAAAATTCCAAAAATTCAGCAGGTGGCCAAGTTAACTAGTTGTAGAGCAAGCTTGGGGAAAAGAGATAAAGCGAGGCTTGTCAGGGAGGGGGGAGTATAAGATAAATGATCTGTTTGACATTTATTACAGTATAGTTAAAAGTGATAAGCATAAAGGAGAGTAATATGACACATTTTATAGGAATGCATTCATTTTCAGTCCCAACACCTACAAGTTTAAAGATGGAGGACTGAAAAAGATATTTAAAGAAATGAAATTTGAGTCCACTATAACCGAGTTTCCAAGTTCTAAGCTGTTCACTATAAGCGTTAAAAATAACATTATTTAAATAGGAATACGGACGGGACCGCTAAAAAAGTTCACTACACCCGAGTGTTCACTATATCCCAGGTTCACTATAGCGGGGTTCGACTGTACTTTCTTCTTATAAGCAAATTTCCCTTTATTTAAATAGGGAAAGCCAAGCATTAATCGTCAAAAGAATAATTAATTATGATGTTAAGCTTCGAACTCTTTTACAGTGGTTTTTTTTTTAAATCTACAGACAACTCTTCATTTATACTTACTGCTGCATTCTAAACTGGCAAAGACAGTAAATATATCCGAAGTCCTCATCACCTCAGATAGGAATGCATTGGTATAGATCAATCTACTTTTATCTTCCATTTCTGGATTTCTGTCTGATCCCACCACTTCCAAAATCTCTCGATACACATTCTCTTGTTCTTCTGGATATTTCAAAGCAGCTTCAATAAAAATTCCAGCGAACATTGCCACAAAAAGAATACCATCGGCACAGATTTGCAGCAATGATCTCAATAGAACTTCGTCTGAAAAGGCATGCAGAGCAAATTAGATAAAATGAAATTACTTTCTGCAAACACAAAATCTCAATTAAAAAACTTTCTGCACGCGTCGTCACCTCATTTTAGTGAAATTAATTTGAAAATCACAGATTTTTTTTTTAAAAAATGTTTCATTTTTATGATTCATACCACAGGCGTGAAATTGGTAAAAAGCTGAAAAAAGTGTATGAAGGAAGCATTTACTACAGAATGTTATCAACGCTTTAACGAAAATATCGTTGTGAGATTTTATTTATTTAAATTGTTTGTTGAATCTCAATGCGTGACTTTTAAATCACCAGAATACTAACTCGATATTTAATTTCAAATTCACATGAATCTGAATGCGAATCTCTGATTTTAAAATCGCGTGAATACGATTCTCGATGTTTCATTTTTAAGTAAACTTAGCCCGAATCATAATAGTGGCTTTTAAATCGCGTGAATACGGAATGTAATATTTGATTTTTAAAAAAAAATCGTGAAATTACGAAGAAAAAAAAAGCCCGATTTTAAATAGCGTGATTTGGAATCACGATGTTTGATTTTAAATCATGTTAATATCATTTTAAATCGTGTTTGTATTCGTAGGAAAAAGCGTACGAATGAATCTTTTTTCTTCTCGGAAATTCGAAAAAAGACACATTTTCTTTGAAGTGCTTTTTTTTTCTTCATTTTTAGTAATGGTAAAAAAAATTGGCGTGTTGATGATGAATTCATGGCGTCTGCGTAGATAAGTTTGTTTTACTATATTAATACTCTAATGATCTAATTCTAATGTTTTTAAACTAGCCTTATTTTTTAATCATTATTGGTTTAAAAATTATTTTTAGTCCAGCTAATTATATATTGCCTGACGATTCATACCCTAACGAACATTAAGAATTTAGACTGCATCATTCTGTATTACATGGGGTCACAAATAAATAATAAAAAATTGAAAATAAATATTTAAAAAAATGAGAGCTTCTAAAGTAAATCATGGATTTCAGTGAAGGAACACATAAAAAATGTCATACAAAAATAAATATTTAAATGAATAGTTTGATTTATTCTAGGTTTAATTGCTGCTGGTGTTAGTCTGATAATAATTGTTATGTTGATTAAAAGGACACGAAAAAGCTACAACACATAGAGTAGAGTTCTTATAAAAAGAGATGAAGTCAAAATAGTGTTTTATGTTACTTACTGCGAGTACAAAATGAATTTAATTTTAAATTTCAATTATTCAATAAATTTACTATTATCTTCTCTTTGAAAACTTTATCGAGCACTTAATACTCATATTTAAAATGAGATATTATATTTATTGTTTTACATTAAACGTTGCTCTTATTGGAACTTTTTTTAATGTGAAATTGGAAGGTATTACCTGTAAAATACTTTGCAGTAGGATCCTGCCTACCCTCTCTCAACTTCTTTTCTTTGTAGAAAGCATCAATTGCATTCCGTATGTGATTTTCATTGTAGGTTGCTTTATGTCTATTGATAACCTTCGTTAATATACTTCTCATGACCACGTGACCTTTTTTACCTTCTTTAACATTCATGTGAAATGGGAAAAGAAAATACCTACGACCAAAAATATTAAAGTGTCGGTATTGAAGTAAATGGGTTAAGTCAGTTATTTTTTGAATCAGTAATTACGTAAAAAAAAAAACAATGTAATAAATACTGTAAGGAATTTTAGAAAATTTATAACTAATTTCATAGAAAAATACATTTGTCTAAGGTTAAAATCTATCTTAGTTAACACGCTTATTTTAAATGAGTTTGCATATAATGAGTATAAGATATTTTGAAAGCTTAAAACTAAAGACTCAAACCCATAAATAGAATCAGCTGTTCGCTGAAGGCGACTAGTAATTAGAATATACGTATCTCGATTATGTCATTCAATTATTTAAATAGAGCATTGAAACAAATAATAAGCCTTCCTGGAATACTATTTGATGTAACTAACCCTATCTTTAGTTAAGTGATGAGGAAACGGAAAAGGAAATTCTAACACATGATCCTCTGAGGATATTTTGTGTGAGCAGTGTCGGTGTGAGCCGGGATCAGAATTCGCATCAACCAGCTAAAGCTGGGATTCGAACCTGATACTCACCTCATTGAGAAACGAGCGCTCTATACACTTCAGCCGCCCCGAATCTCTAATAAATTAATTTTATATTTTATTTTATAACCGGCGTTGAGCAACCGATCCAATTCTGATTTTAGAATTATCTACGTTCAACTCCGTAGTCTTGTCATTTTGAATTTAATCCTGGAGAACTCCTGAATCAAGCATTGGGAGAAATTCGTTCAGGACTCATTGATGGAACTTGCTCGCATTTGCGTAACATATAAATCGAAAAACCCTCACGGTTAGCTCAATGCCAATGGAATTCAAAACTATGATCCATCTACAACTGAAGATATTTTATGTAAGCACTGTGGTCCGTGTGAAGGTGGAGCTGAATTCGTATCAACCAGCCAACGCTGGGATTCGAACCTGAGTAAAGAATCCAACTCCTCAAAATCCGTTGATGTCATTTTGCAATATACCAGGTTAATTGGAGGAGTTTTAAGTTATTATAATCAGTCGGAATTTTCTAGGCTTATTGCATTAAGTATGATTCATAGTTTCATTCAAAACTTATTTTAATAAATCTTCTTAAAGTTTAATAGCATGAGCCAAGTGAAGTAAAGATTTTACTAAAAAGAATTCAAATAAAGGGAAGTATAAAATAGTTTTGATCAAGAAATAAAGACTAAGTAACACTTAGCAGTAATTATTGATATTTACAACAGTACGAATACATTATTAACGTTTAATTTATGCGCGTATAGAAAACAATAAAATTAATTAAAGAAAGGCTAATGGTAACAAAAGAACAAGTAATAGTGTCTCTTAGAAAGTTTCTATATAAATATGTTTAGTAACAAAAAAGTTGTATTAAAATGGTTACTTAACGCTGCAGAAAGAAATGGAAACGACTATTGAATCTATGATCCAAATCAGTCGAAAGTATTTTTTTTAATGAACTATCGTTTCAACATTGATTCATTCAGTTGATTTTGAATCATTCTTATTTTAAGTCTATCCGGATGGATCAATCTGTCACTCGAATATGCAGTCATTCAAGGCAATTATTCGAATTTGTGATACAGTTTCTGATTTGAATTTCAGATTATTTGATTTTGATCCAATTCATGGACTCAAGTGCAATGATTAAAATTTTTTAATCAGTTTACTCGAGTCAACGATTCAATTCATTTGAAATAAATGGTTTGAATCACTTTATATAAACAAATCGCCAGATTCCAACAATCTTGATGATTCAAATCCTATCACTAACTGAGCATCAGTATTGAATCATCACCTATCGTTGTCACCACACCGAAACCACGAGTCTGCTGATGGCCAAAGTTGCAGATTCGTGATTTTGGCGTTGTTTTGGCAAAATAGGCATACTTAGCGAAATTTCCAATGAGAAGAAGATTAATGCTTGTCATGCACATCAAGTTCTTGAAGTAAGCTCTGTTGAACTCTACTAATTCCTGTTCTGTGACTCCATCATTACCAAACAGTGTTTGGCGCATGACTTTGGTGCATTTCGACAAGAGTATCTCAGCAATGTCTACGGGTTGGCCGTTTGTTCTTCTGAGATCAACGATGGTACTGCGAACAATATCATAAATAGGGCCCGACAGATGGTCTTTAACGGTCGTCATACCTCGTTCTCTAAACTGATTCAATAGAAACTTCCTGGCAGTCTTCCAGCCTTCTCCTCTCATATATACAACACCTGCAAGAAAAGATATTTCCTCCTTAACTATTAAAGAAAAGTTTGTCATTTTTTAATGTCGTTCCAAAAATAAATAATTGTTATACCAAAAATAATTGTAAATAAATAAATAAAAACAAAACAAAAAACTTCTTATACCTGAGATATGCCCCCAAATTGAAACGGTGAATAAATTGAAAAGTGTACGAAAAGCATTTTCGGAGCGTTGCGGAGGTAAAGGTCTGAATCAATTATGCTGTTAAATTAATATGAATAATAGATTAACATATTGCTTTCTGTTAATTACTTTTTTTTTCATTTTCTCTTAAGCAATCAGGCATATGCTATTAATATTTTTTTTATAAATGTTTAAAGTGACGTAATTCGAAAAATATAGATATTTTTTTCTTTATTTTTAGTATTGTGACTTGGTAACTTTTTTCGTTGAATAATTATGGCAAATTTCTGCAGTCGTTATAACAACTTAATAACGATTCATTTTGATTGAGAAAGGAATAATGCAGGTTTCTTTTCTAACATTTTCTCATCTGAAGTTTTTCTTTCCTTTTTTAAAATAAATTTTTTTCTTCACATTTTGTGTTTCGTTTAGGTGAAAAGTAATAGTATAAAAATAGTGGTAATATTAATGATTTTAAAATTGTTTTGAAGTTTTAATTCCATGTTCGGCTTTCTCTTTTGTTTTAATTAATGAATGAAAAATAATGTGCTCTTAAGAGAATTTTTTGTATTTTTTCTATAAATAATAATTAAAAAACACGAAGTCAATTTGAAAAATAAACACAATTTAATAAGGACTTGCCTTATTAAATATTAAACGAGCCAATCTATGAACAAAAATTTCTCACGCTCAAAAACATAAAGTACACATAAAAATAAAGTACGCAAAAATCATAATAATAAATCGCACGCAATGTTGCTGTGTTATTTTTTTTTAAAGTATCACAAACAGGTGAAATAGAAATACGTATATATTAGGGGGACTGGAAAGTAATGTCGTTTCAGTGCATTTGACATTTAAGATAAGATTTTATTTTTAATCGATAATGTGTTCACCCTCGTTATCTACAACCTTTCAATGACGGATCAAAAATGGATCGAAAAAAATGAATTGGTTTTTAAGACTAACGAATATTTTATGAGCCGAAACAACATTACTTTCCGGTCCCCCTCCCCATATATCAATATAATTTGCTTCAAACCTTGAGTGAAAGAATTAAATTTAAAGATTGTACTTACCCCCGTTTAAAAAACTGTAAAGAAGTTGAAAAGAATCTGGTCTTTCATAAAAGCAGTCCGTTTTGGTGATGTGAGCTTCTCTGACAGCTTTGACATTCCCGAAATGAATGAATAAACGCCCCGTGTAAGTGAAGCTGAAGACATCGCCGTATTTCTTTCCATATTCCATCAGTTGCAAATGGCAGGTATCATGTCTCAAAATAGGCCACAATCCAAGGTAAGGGAAACCATAAGGTCCGGGTGGTGTTCCTCTTGATTTGAAGTGGTAATACAGTAAGCTTAGGAGGACAACTGCTATGGCAATGTAGAACTCAGTTGTGATTTGGGACATACTCGTAGGGTTCTAATATGAGAGGAGAAATTATTACATAATATTCATGCGTCAGGTTTTTATCACAATAACATATATGGCAGTGATTTAATAATTGCTGAATTAGAAATATTCATGGTTTACTGGGTTATCTGACAATTCTTGACTGTTTTGAAGAATCACAAGGAGCACAAAATTTTGAAATTTTGGTAATTTTTCCTTCTTCATTTATGTAAGTGCCATCCTGTTCCACAATCTCTATGCAATCTAGAAGTGCCATCGTTCCGGAGTTTCACAATGTTTTCGAGTGTTCTACATGAGTTTTCTTGTCATCGAAAGAATTATATAGCACAGAGAAATTCCAAAAAAGAATATTTATTATGATGAATGATAGATTTTCAGTCTGAAGAGCATTGGGGCTGATGAATATATAGTATAGAACATTATAACTTTTGTTATTGTTCGAAATATGACTTCTTCTCATTCTTTTCTTATTAAACTCTCATTGTGAACACATTTTCTGTTTATTCTATCCGTCAATTATCCTGATTTATATAATTTTGTCACCTATCAAAAATCGGTATTCCAGACAGTCCAATATTATTTGTTTGTATGAAGTTTAAATAAAATAATATGAAGTTTAAATGGAATGGTGAATATCCGATGCTTCAAGTCTATGGGAAATTTTGATAGATTTTTTGAAGGAATGATCACAAAGAATGAAAAATTTGAACCCATAAAGAAGTCAATGGTATTTGCGATACATCAATTTTTAGTTTTAGGAAATAGATATTTCTCTATCAAATGAAAGAAATGCGGCATGAACTTTAAATAAATTGAGTTTTTTACACAAAAAAGAAATTTTTTTCTCATTTGTTTCATCAAAAATAAGTTTTACATATTATCATAAATATTGACCCCTTATTAAATTCAAATGATTGACTTAGCCCAAGCATTTTTAAGGAAGCCATTTTTTTTGATTAGTCATTTTAATTGATTTTTTTCTTGAATGAAAAGTGTAGTATTCTTAAAAGTATACACGTAGTCATATTGAAATCTTTTTTCAATTTGAAATAACAAAACTTAGGAGGCTCACTCAACTCAATCGCTTCTTTCTACATTTTCCACAAAAACGCAGAAGATTTTGTTTTACAATGATCGTAGCTTTATGCAAAGATTATTTTGTTTCTATGCAACAAATGACTTAGATTTAAAAAATAATCATCTGTACTTAAAAATAAAATGAACCTAAAGAATGCAGATTGTAGGACTCGATAAGAAAAAATAAATGAGAAGTCATTTTACTCGCTGACGAGACAATCAAATAGGGAAAGATTTTTATTAAGTTTCTTATTTTTTTAAAATAAAAATATCAGGCATATATCTCTCTCTCTTTCATACTCTTTTTGTTACTTTTGATTGAGTCTTAACACTGATCGAATATAAATTTTTTTTTATTCCATCGTACTCTATGTACATTTTTCAACAATCCTCCGTGATTTCTGAGTTTCATAGTTTTTGCGCTGCAAAATGTTAATTGGAACACCCAAAACATCGGCGGTCCTCACAATTTTTACTGTAGAGAGATTAAACTCTGTAGATTTACTATATCATCCATCTTACGTCTTTTAAATTTTTGAGGGGTTTCTTCTTTTAAGTTAAATGTTTAAAATTGAAAAATACTTTTTTGCGTTTTTGTAATGTATCACAATACCGATAGAAACGAAAAGATATAAAAATGAAAACCTGCCTCTAACTAGACCTGACATACTCAATTAAATTTTAATTTTATAAATGCATTACCATTAAAGCGTTATGGAATGAATCAAAATTCATTTTGAAGTTCATTACAAGTCCATAACAATGCATAATTGTAATAGATTGAGCAGGGAGCAATTTATTATATGGAAATGTGTAAATTGTTCTTAAAAACCGATAAAATACGTCGGTAACGAAGAACTGAAATATTGAGCGTGTAATCATAAATCAAGAACTCTAAAACAAATGTTTATAATGAAAATTCTTTTCTCGCGGGAACATAATGTTAACTGAACAATAAGTTGAACAGAAGCAGAGATGCCAACTTGCACCGGACAGCGAATAAATATTTTCGAGTGGTAATTTATTAATTGTGATTCTTGACTTAATAAATTCAATTTATTAGGTTTTTATCCACCACTATTTCTAAATAATTCGAAAGCTTATATCATTCGCCACTTTGTTATAGTTATGTCCATTTGACCGCGTCTGGCATGAAGCATTAATTGTTAAATTAATTAATCAAAATATACCTTTTGATATAATTAAAATTCTAAACTCATATTTAACCAAAAGAACCTTTCGGATTAAACTCAATGGCGAGCTATCAAATAAGAGGCTAATACGTGCCGGCGTACCTCATGGAAGCATCCATTGTATTTAATCTTTACTAGCGATTTCCCTATTAACTACAGTAACCATAATTATTTTATTGCTTTCTACGCTGATGACACAGCGATTGCCATGAGATCATTAAGACCAGATCAGGCAGTTAAAAATCTTAACGAACAAATGCCACCAATTGAACAATGGTGTCGCAACAATAAAATAGCGATTAATACTGATAAATCTCAACTAATGATTATAAGGAGGAAAAAAAGGCACCAAAAAAATAAACAGTGGCGTTATCCTTTTTAATGATAAAATCCCAATCACTAATAAGGCCACCTACCTAGGTGTAACCTTTAATGATAACCTTTGATAATGATAACCTTTGATGTAACCTTTTAATGTAACCTAATGATAACCTTTGTACGTGGAACCTCCACGTACAAAATATTATAAATAAAATCTATGCAGCATACAACTGCCTCAAACCTATTCTTAATGCTAATTCATCCCTCCCAATAGACCTAAAACGCTTGCTATACTTACAATGTCTAAGGCCCATCCTTACATATGCATGCCCCGCCTGGGGTAATATAATTAACAATACCCAGATAAATAAACTTGAAATAGTCCAAAATAAAATATTGAGACGCATCACTGGTGTGCCTCGCTATCTACCAATTATTAACAATAAAAATGACTTAAAAATAGACCCAACCATGAATTTTATAAACAGATTAAATGCTAGTTTTTATAGCAAGTCAAAAAACAAAGACCGAGGGGGTTTTGACGCCCTGCTAAATAAAGAACTAATTGTGGATATGAAGAACCACAACCCCATAACTGCATTCCTGCTCTCAGATTGCATACTGTCAAAGTACTACTATACATAGTGGCCCCCCTTTTTACATATATGGATGCTCGCAGAGAGAGGAAATGACTAGAAGGGTGATCCTCGACTCGCTACCTCACTTTTATATTGCCACTTATTTCGCATCGTAACTTTGTTTCTTCCACACATCTGTCATCTCAGTATATAACTCCCTTGAAGGAATTCTATACATCCCCCCTATATTTTAGGTCCTTTCACTATTAGTATAAACTGATTTGTGACTTCCGCCTCTGTGTTTTCGCTCGCCACTCTACCCATCTTCCCATTGTCAATATTACAGGCGCCCACGGGCTCAAGCTCATATGAAAGAGTCAATTGTCCGCTTCGCGGACGGGCACTCTGTAAGAAACACCAGTTCAGTTCAGTATAGTTAAGTCATGCTAAACCTTTTATAAAGTAAACAAAATTAGTGAATTATTTGCAAACTAGGAGGCTCTGCCACCTGCTCGCTAACGCTCGCCAACCCCCGAGAATTGCTACGCAATCCTATGTGGTTCACGCCGTGAAGCATGGCTCGCTGCGTTCGCTCGCCAATGAACACAATGTTCTAGCACAAAGACATAATATATTATCATCAAAGACATAGTATTTTATCATCAAAGACATAGTATTGTACTTATGTAGAAAAATTCTACCAATGTTCTTATTGGCTTTTAAAAAAGTATATTAGCTATTTAGATTGTACATGGTGAAAAAATCAAAACATTAGCTAAATAAGAAACATATTAGCAAAATAAATTATCAAATATTGCTTCACTAATATTCTGCATTTTAAAGCGTGAAAATTCAATGCATAAATAAACGCGAAATATAAAAAAATTCAATGCATTCAATACAAACACAAACACACGTTTTTTAGACGTTTAGGTAGATCCCAGTAGAAAAATATCAATTCAACAGCGGCCTTTTAAAGCATTCTCACTTCAATTAATTAATTAATTCCTAATTGAGTTTAAATTAAATATTGTCATGTTTTTAGTGCATGAATCTGAATTGAACAACCTGATAATGCTCACTCTGGTTATTGTTATCTGGTTGCTCACTACGTGCTCTTGCGCGCCGAATCCAATCAATTAAAAATGAAAACTGTTGCCAGCGCGAGAAAAGAAATATCATCGGTTTTATTGATACATACATACGTACGTATTAGCGTTTTATATAATAAGAAGATAGATTTTAGTTTGTAGTTATTTACCGCTTTTTAAAATTATTTTGGCATGTCTGGAGCAGTTGGCATCTCTGCAGAAGTCGAATAATTCATATCAAGAAACAAACTGTTCTATATCTTTGTTTTAATTATGCTAATTAGTTTACGAAGATTCAATATTAATTCTGAGCTATATTTTAGTTTTAGTGATGCTTTAAGGCAGGAGAAATATGCATTTTATTAAATCTGCGTTGTTCTTGTCTTTCCTTTTCTTATATTCATTTAACACATTTTATCAGTTTATATTAGACTTTTGAGACTTCAAATTCCTCATTGTATCTATAGAGAATTTAAATCAGACAAGACTACAATAGCATAACTGCTCCCTATGCTGGTGATACCGGGATAATAGTAAAATCCAAAAATCCAAACATAGCCCTCAGAAAACTACAAGAAAAAATACAAGACGTAGAAAAGTGGTGCCGCCTAGACTGGAAATTTCAAGTAAAAGACCAAAAATCACAACTTTTAATCATCCGAAATAAAGAGAAAAGAAAATACCACCACAGAACAAGTTAATTCTATTTAAAGAAACAATACCAATAGTTGACAAAGCCAAATACCGTGGACTCATCCTTAATAGCAAATTCAACTGGAATGATCACATCAAAAGCATAACCAGAAAAGCACAAGCAGCATGCAGAAAACTCCAGGTACTACTCTATCAATCCAACATGGCACTAAAACTCAAAAGATTGCTTTATTTATCCATGATCCGCCCCATTCTTACACATGCTTCACCAGTCTTGACAAATATAACACAAACTCAGCTAAATAAATTAATAGTCTGCCAGAATAAAATATTAAGAAGGATAACAAAAAAAACCAGATGGTTCGTAAGAAATAATACAATACACCATGACCTCAAAATAGATACAATAGACCAGGGATGGCGAACCAATGGCACGCGTGCCATTTATGGCACGTAACACAATATTCTGGGCACCCCACTGATCACAAAGTTCACTATGAAGCATATTAACAATTAAATTTTTAAAAAAATAAATAAAATATGCAATTATGAAAAAAAACATTTACAATTAATGCCAACAAAACAATAACCATAAAAAACAAGCTAACAATAAATAACTAGCAAAAAAAACAAAAATTGGCAGCCCTGCTTAAACTAGCATCTTACAACCTAATATAAGTTATTTGTCATTTAATCTGAAACAACAGAAGTCACACTAATATTACTTTAAGTTAAATTACGCGTATAACTGAGACATTGCAAAAAGATTTTTTTTTCGTAGTAAATAAAGAGTTTTGAGTTGATAGTATTTAGTATGATTATTTTCCCAATAATCACGAAGTCAAAATGATTTGATGGCACGTCTATGACCTCATTAAACAGTTTTTTGAAAAAAAATGGCACGATGCTGCATAAAGTTTCGCCACCCCTGCAATAGACAAACATAATAGCTAAATTAAATAACAAATTCTACGAAAAAGTCACCTCTTGCTCTACAGCAAATTTCAATGAAATTTTCAATGAATTGTATTTCTATTTGAAAATGTAACTGTGAAGACAAGAACATCAGACCAATTGCAGCATACTATTGCAGTGATGCATCATATTCCCGACATCAATAGCATATACATAACCTCATTTTCATCATATCTACTTGGCTAAAGTTAATACTTTTACAATATAATCTTATCACCCCACTGCACAGTCAGAACCTCAATGATTCAGATGAATACTCCTTTACTTCATTTGCATTCCACTACCTCATCGAAGCATCATAAAGATCAAGCTCAAGATGAATGGGAAACGGGCCTCAGGTGCCCAGATATTTTATACAGTTTAAGAGAATTTAAATGAATTATTTTTTCTAAATTTAATTTTCAGGTAGCGCTGAAATGTATATAAATCAAATCAAGAGTTAAATTAAATGAAATTTTAAGAAATCAAAGTTTTCATAAAATATGTATGCTTCAAATTTTTTTTTAAAAAAAATTCAGTTTAAAAAGAGTACCGACATAGGTACAAAGCTAGACTAAAATATATAAGCGATTAATATTATATATAAATGTGTAAATATATAAGTATCTTATAAGAAATCGTTCATTTACGAAGCAATCCGAAAGGAAATGCGATGATAGTTCAGATGATTGGAAAATGCTGTGCTCACCAAATTATTATACTCAACCTCAGAATAATGCAGGAGGCACTTTCACATTTTAAATAATTTTTTTAAATTTTTCAAGAAATATTGAGAGGATTATTTTGTAACTTTAGAGTTCAAGAGATTTCTCATACTTTGTAATAATAAGGTTTTTTAAAGCTGTCTGAGGAGCCGACAATAAATTACTAAAGAAAAATAATATTTGCCAGAAAATCAAGCTTGTATCGATTACTTTGGTTTTTATTTGAAATTACTGCACCATAAAATCTTGAGAGATATGGAATTTATTGATTTGGAATTTATTTATTATTATTATATTGACGCTAAATAATAATGCTTTTTTTTCGCTAATTTAGAAATATTCAGTAAAATTTAACGAAATTTTTGGAGCAATTTGAAATTAAATACAAAAATGTTGTTTTAAAATTGGAAAAAAGCTCGCTTCAGATAAGCTTTTAAAGGGATAGGAGCATTCAATGTGAGCATTTAAAGTAACTCTTTTGTACTGCGTAACAGCGAATAAAATTTTTTTTTTGTTTTTTTTTTTAAATTTTTATTTTTTATAATTAGTGAATTTTACTTGGCAACTAATAAAAAAAGTCTTACATGAATAACTTAAAAAGTTTCCAGTAATTTTCTATGTAGTTTTTGTAAAAAAAAGGCTCTTTAAAATGATCAAGGGTTTTCCGCAAATGTTATTTTTTATTATTGCAAATGACACTAACTTATAGGAAAGAACTATATCTGAAACACTAATGCATATGTGTATTGTTTAAAAACCGATTATTATTATTATTTGCGTTAGCAACAAGGAACTGAAATATCAAGTGACTGAGCAGCCATGAGCGCAAACGCGTAAATGTACTTGTTTAAAATTTCTGAATGAAATTTTTTCTTTTCACGCGTCGGTGACAAAAAGCTAAGAAATTGAGCAACAAGTTGGTCAGAAATGAAAGGTTAAAAGCGATTTATACATATAAACTTATGAACCGTGTCACATTTTTATTTTATGATAGAATTAACACAGGAGTATTTAATTACAATTATGATACTTTACAATTATCATCGAAAATTGACTAGATATGCTTTTTTTCAGTTTCTCTCACTATGTTTTTTTAATTTATATATTTGTAAATTACGAATTTAATAAATTAACGAACTTAAAACTGATGTCTTCAAATAGTGAAATTTATAATTGCGTAGCAGTTCTATGGATTATTTGTTTCAAACATAATTTCCAAGCATCATTGAAATGCATATAAATCAAATGAACGAAACGAAATGTATAGGAATAAATTATTTCACAACACGTACATATTTTTAGGACTTCATTTTAAAAAGAGTACTACTAGATTGAAACAAAAATAAGTATCCTATAGATGAGCGAAATAAACCGAAAGAAACTGAGAACGCTGTTTCTGGAGTTAGGTGAGCACAGCGCCGGTGTATCATTTGAAATTATAAGAGAAACATCTGCCTCCCATATATGAGTAAATAATTATTATCCATTTATCAGATTCAATTATATTATCTTATGACAAAAAAAAGTTTCATATTGTCTAATAAGAACAAGTGTGCTTACCTTAGACCATCAGACCTTGTATGTTCTATTTCATCCTACGCACTTCCCGATTTAGGGAGTAAAAGTAGACTGAATTAAAACAATTTATCAGTCCTTATAAATCATGACGTCAGTCAACCTTCAACGTCGATAATATATTTAATATTCCACTTTCTCTCTACCAGATCCTTGTATTCAATTTAGTTCATAAGTAACAGGACAATTTCAATATTTCTTGTGTTTTTTAAATATAATTTGAATCAATGGCCTAAAACAAGCGACTTTCGTTAGTCAATTTAATATTATTGCATTATCTAATATGATTTAATAATCTTTTAAATCTTACTATCGGATATTTTAAAATATGCATAGTTTGAATAGAATGATGCATATACTATTTAAATGGCTGATATCCATTGGTATTTATAAACAAATAAGAATGGAAAACTTTTACAAATTGTAAAGAATACTTCTGACTGAAACAAGGAATTAGAATAAATGTTAAGCCTACCTAAAAATTCGAATTGACCAAAACGGAAAAATTTTAAATCAGATTCATAAGCATAAAGTACCTGTAGTTGCTAACTAGAAAGAGTTATTATCCGTTAAGAAAATGAGAGTGTTTTTATGTCCTCTCACTTTTCAGCTTATTCAACTAAATCAGCAGGATAATTACAAATAAAGAATTGTCAGAGTCCTTAATAAATCAAGCTAAGATTAATAAAAAAACAGCTCAAAAAGATCAAATTAAAAAAAAAAAGCCAAAAGAAAAGAAAACAGACGATAATTTAAGAATATTTCGGTATTTGCACTTCAAGAAAAAGATCACAGACACCCACACATGTGCATATGACGTCAGCGCCAGCTGATCGTTTATAAGCAAAATTGCAGGCTAAAGCTGAGCTAAGTTTTTCCACATTAAGCTAGAATGTTAATTAACGTGAAGTTAATTCATTACAACGCCGTATCGTACATCGAATTTGTTGAAATTTACTCCCTTCTCGTCTATGTCTTTTATTTATTTTAGATTTATTATTTGTTTAGGTATTTTATTGTATTGTAACCGTGATATACTTTTGTTTTGTGTGCCCGGCAACTTTGATGCATAATTAGTTTGCTTATGTTTGACATGACTTCGTGCCTGTCTTTGTGTTGAGTAAGAAATATATAGTGAGAGAATTGAAATCTTTGTTGAAGAATCTTTGTGTAAGAATATAGAATGTGCCACTTAAGATAATTGATACTTGACGGGCTTGGCTTGCTCGAAATAGAACGGAAAGAACAGTTGCTAATGTATACAAATGCCACGTTTCAACAACCCATCAGGATCGAGGTACCCAGACTACGTCACTTGCAGGTATCCCATTTTCCAAACTTTTTCTCTTTTCAACCGCGTACGTATTAAAAGGTTTTTCTTAATATTATTTTCCAGAATTTTTATGATTTTTTAAAGATTAATTTATTGATAATTTTGGTCTAGCTAGCGATTTTAATATAAATATGAATATTGAAAAAGGAAAAGAATTTTGTAACGGTTTAAGAAACGTATATTGGCTGAAATTGAAGGCAGCCTATTGGACGACAACAGAACAAACAATGGACGCTGGTGTTTTCAATCGTTTATAAAAGGCGTATATGAAAGTCTATCCAGAAAGAAAAAAATCACCAATAGATATTCAGTGATCATAATAATGAGATCACAATTTTCTCTCCTTTGTAATTAATCGTCACTATATATATCTTAAATTTTATTCCGTTAATTGCACTTGTGTTGCTATGAATAAGAGGCAACATACGACCTGTGCATTCTAAGTGATGAGGGTCAGGGGGTGGGTTAAAAATCAAACATTTTTTTAAAAGAAAGCTCTAAAACCGAACCACTAAATTTATTTCACTGGCAATTTTGATGCATTTTATATACATTGGATTCATATAGATTAAATATAAGACAGAACGTATCTATTTTTTTTTTATTGTTCATGCATTCAGAAATAAATTCAAAATAACATGTTTTGAATAGTTAGAAGATACGTTTTAATG